AGATTAAACCTGTCAACCTACCTCCAGGTTTTTCCACGTCTCCAGCAAAGCTTTATAAAAAAATAAACAAGGAAGAAACACATTATGTTTACTCAGAATAGTAAATTAGTTGTGGCATTGAGGAACGGTTTTTGTTGTTTACGCTATAGGTCCCCCTCTTCAATGGGAAATCTACTCTTTGGGTGTTTCATCCTTAGAAATTAAACGTGCTAATGTTTGTAAAGCATTTCTTCTGTCATTAGATCATTGTTAAATTAGTTGTGATACCTCTGACAACAAATTAAAAAAAACGTGTGACTGACAGACACGCCTGTGGCAGCGTTCTTGCAAGTGTTTCTAAATTAAGACCACGTTTCCCATACATCTTGTTGCTTCTTTTCGCACCCTGCATGAGCGTTGGATGCAATTAAATATGTCAAAACCGGGAAACCTACATTATTGAAGAAGACAATGAAGAACGACAGAAAGTTATGGCAGAGGAATGGCAAATAAAAGAAGTTTGGAGTAGAAAAACAAAGTGTGAGCAGAAGAGTAGCAGGGAGATGGATGGGAGGAGGTGACACGAGATAGGAGAGGAAGAAGATGGAAGTGAAGAGAGATGAAGGACGCTGAGACGGCAGAGGGGATGTAAGGGGGGAGTGTGCAGAGGGAGCTACCTGCTGCTGATGGCAGTCAGAGTCAGTGAGGGATGGAGGGCGATCCAGCTGTGACATTAAAGCAGCAGGTGGAGGCCATCATTAGGACTGGCACAGGAGGCTGGATGAGCCCACACACACTCATTTCTTTGGGGCCCAGCGGACCACTGAAGAGCTTGTGTGTGTGTGTGTGCTTCTCCTCAGAAAGAGCTGAAGCATAGTCCCATAACTTCAGAGCTCACCCCCACCTCCCCTTTCATCTCTCCCACTTGGAATCCCTCTCCTTCCACCAGGTTTCGCCCGGCGAGGGTTGAGCGGTTCCTACATCTGCTATCCCTCGTAATGGTTTTTCAGTTACCTCTTAACCAATTACAATACAGCAGTTAGTTTGATTTCAGCTTCATTTTTCAGCTCATAGCTTTTCTTATGTTGCGTATGTGGTGGCACACAGAAGGCGGCAACATTGATTTTCTACGGTTTTCAAAGAAAAAAACGAAATATTGCACCAACTATTCCTTATGTTTTGTCCTCTAAAGCCATAATTAGGACCAACAAATCGGAATCATTCACGCTACTTCCGTCCATCTGCGTCTTTCCTGGTTTAGTCTTCTGGTTGTTAATTGTAGTGTCAACTAGATGAGTTTTTCATCAATGCCAGAGATAAGTCTATCCTACCATGCAAGTTTACACTTGGTGAGAAAGGTTTACATTTACCATGCCTGTCTTGTACCTGATGCCACACACAATAAATCACTTTGCTTTGGATATAGCACAGACATTGGGTTTCTTTCATCCTTACTAACAGGGTGTTTTGACCCATGGTGGATGATATAATGGGCAAAGAGCTAGATAGTTGGGGGATATAGGAAGGGCAAGGGTGGTGCAGCAGAGCAAGCAGCTAGCCACGTACCATTCAAAGCATTCACTTCCCTTATATTGCACAACTTCAAGCATTGATATCATTTACAGGGGTGGAAGAAGTACAAATATCCTCCGGTACAGTTGTCATGAATGGAAAAATAAACTATAAAGACCAAAACACATGTTTGTACTAGGCTGTGTTTATTTCTGGTGATGGGCATTTATGGAGATGGAGATTGACTCTCTTTTGGAGCCTGACTGAAGTGACCATTCAAGGAATGTACTGGCTCTTCAGCATGGGCTTTATTTTTCAACCATGGAGGTTGCCGCTTGCTCTCTACTTGTAGATCAGTAATCCATACTTTTTCAAACGAAATCCATTACCTGTAACTTTTTGAGGCAGCAATATAAGTGCAGCGATGTCAGAATCAAGTGAGAAAAAAAGACAAAGTGAAGAGTCAAAACCTGAAGAAGCCATCTGAAAGTTACTTCAGCAAAGTTGGCAAAGTATGTCATGTCTGACATGGTTCTATCTCAGCATGCATTGTGCACAGCTCTCGGGAATGGGCGTGCATGTTTTTAGGGGTGGTGGGCTACGGTGCGTCTAAGCCGAGTGCTGCTCCAGGCCTTTCCTTAGATCTCCCATCCCTTCCGGACCTGTAGATGGGCCTATCCAGGAACACCATTAGGCAAATGAAGTTGTTTGTATCAAATATTGACATGTTATCTCTTCATCATCAGGCGGCGAGAGGGAGGGGAGAGAGAAAGATTGTAACTGTGGGTAATTGAGCCGTGTCTCCCCTGCTTATCGGTAAAGCTCCGGCACGTCACGGACCTAACGAGCTGTGGCGCGCCGATTAGTCTGAAGGGAAAGTCGAACGTGAAACACCAGAGTCTCCGTCTTTCTCTTCCTTTCTTTTTTTTCCCATATCTGCAATGGATATTATGAGCCTCCCTGGAGGGCAGAGGCACAGCCTTATTAGTTCAATTCATGGGGGGGAAAAGAATTGATATGGATGAATGGCATGTTAAAGTATCCCTTTGTTACAATAACCATCAAGGCTGATGGTTGGGGCTGATGATGCAGCCCAAGGCAGCAGGACGACAAGCTGAGGCCTTGACCTGGATGGCAGAGGATGCACACACACCAAGGGCAGGGGGCTGATTACACACTGCCTTAAACAAATGGATGTGCTCCTTTAACATTTAGATATGGGATCTTTCCGTGTGTTGGTGTGTGTGCATGAGAGATAGGGTACTTGTGGATGTCTGTTTTTGTGAGTAAGGATTGTATTTGTCTGAATTTGTATTAGTATGTGTATGTGTGTGTGCTGCATTTTATCTCAACATTATCAGGAACAGTACTTTGGGTGTATTAGATAATCACATGGTGAATAGCTCATTATAAATGTGTTATCACCATTTGTGCATTTGTTTCTAGTTTTGCATGATTTTATTGTGCATCTCTGTGAATATTAACACCCATTTGTCTGTGTGTGTGCGCGGACTGTGCCAGGTGCCTCCACAGGGCATTATCCATCTTGCACTCGTGCCACTCCGAGAATAATCCAACTCAAATGGGAGAGATGAGAATCTCACAACATGCCAGTTTGATTTGTACCCCTCGCTATCAAAGAATGCTAATTAAAATCATATTTTGCATATGTCTTGTCTTTCATGCGCATATGCAAATAGCCCTCGTTGCCTTTCAGCACTCTGTAATTAGGTTTATGAAGGACAGCTGTAATACATAATTAACAGAAATGTTTGCAAGCTCTTTTTTCTCTCCACGTCTAAACACGACGACTTAAACAAGCATGCGTGGAGTGTTCTATGGTCGGGCTCTTTCTCTCTAATATATTGATTAATTCGCACCAACAACCCCCTTAGAAATATCTTAATTATGCTGTTTGTTTATTTATAGATGATGCCGTCATTCAGCTTCCAGTGAGCCAGAGAAGCTCAGCATTTGGATCTTGCCATTCTCCCTGATTGAAGTTTACAAGATTTAGTCGTACCCTCGCTCCCAGTTTAACTCGACGGGAACGTTCTGGACAGGCGGATAGATTGAGTTGGAGAGGATTGAGAAAAATGTAGAGTGATGATAGCGAGGCGAAACACTGGAACATGTTTGAATATGTATACGGTGGTGTTAGTTAGCGTCGGCCTCAGGGGCCTGGATGACGGACGGGACTCCGGGGCCATGACGAAATGGAGGACAACAGCCGTGTGTGTGTGTGTCCAGACGCTGGAACGGGACTAAAGCTGACATAGCGACATAAATAGTGATATAATTATGCTTTATAGAAGACTGACTCTTAAGTGAGAAGGAAGAGCTTCAGAAAGGCACGGACAGGTCTTGCCCAAGAGAAAATAGAATAATGATTTACTTTGAAGAAAAAAAAGTGAAACCTCCAGGAAGGACAAAATGGGAGGAGCAACAGAGGGGGAGGGGTCTACCCGAGTGTGTGCAGTGACAGTACCAACCACATGATTGTTGGTTCAACTCCCTGGGCCCCTTTCATGTAGCTCCATCCTCAGCTCTCAGATGTGGTCATTGTCTCTCAGTCGCACAATAATGGGAAGTGATGGGTGCTAAATGAAAAGGCCAGGGGATGAATACTCTGGTGAGGCAGCTTGGATGTCGGAGTAGTTAGTCCTGTCATCCGTTCATTATGTTTTCATATGCTGTTTAGGAGACACCGTAAACTCAGGGCCCTCGACGAAGTCAGGACATTGTGGTCACTGTCAAGCTACGGTACCCTAGTGTTTTTGACTGACTGAGTGCGTGTGTGCGTGCGTACGTGCGTGCAACCCCTATTTACTGCAGATACATGTGCAATTGAACCATTGCACGTGTGAACATATTTGTTTGACACATTGATGTACAACATGTGGAACTCTTTGCCTCGATTCTCTCTCTGCCGTCCGACCAAAAAGGTGCTGGCAAAACAAAAGTGTTCAAACTGCGTCCTTCTCTTGTGGTGCAAACAGTTTATATACATTATTTTCTTTCTGCTGGTCTGTCATCTATTAACCGAACAATACTTTCTCCACCCAAAAAAGCAGTTTATGACCAATTATGTTAACAATTCAATGTCAAATGGGGTTTCCTGGGAAAAGTATTGGAATGTAAGAGAGGAATGGGTTCTTACTCTCATGCGAATCTTCGAAAGTGTCTTTCTACTTTTACTTTTTTCTATGTCTAAAAAAGTAAAAGTAAAAAAAAGTGAAAAAATAACCAAATCCAAGACAATATTTTCTGTTACAAACAAAACATGTGTTCACATCCAGCTTGACTCATTAAAATAACACTATGTCATTGATTTCAGTATATGATTGCAGAGGCTATCTTCACGCCTTCAAAGTACTGTTATTACTGTATTGCTGCTTTTGACATATTTTTTTGAAGTAAATAACAGAAGATCCGCACAATTGGAATGTACCAATCTACTTTTGAAACGTACTAAGCATGTTAAAGCAAGTTTTCTTTGTGTTTTGTAGATGGGCCTTTGTAATGAAGAAACACCTGAGCACCCACCTGCTTGGAAAACATGGAGTCGGACAGCGTAAAGAAAGGTAAATGAAACACTTGCAACCGCACCCACATTACATATTGTAATCTGCTGGAAGAAAACCAGTGTTGTAAAACTGCAAGCTAGTGCATTAGAGTTCTTAAAGACGTTTCTTTATCCAGGATCCCGACTGTCAAGTATTTTTAGCTTGTTGTGAGAGATACAGCAGGCAATTAGTTCTAGATTTCAGAAGATGACTCTTACAACCCCTATGGAGGTCTGCAAGCTTTTAAAGCAAAAAGGTCCCCTCTAGTTACAGTGATTTCAAGTTAAATATAACTTGAGAATCCTCCCTTCCCCTAATGAGTTAAACGGCTTTCACTCATTCTGTCTGTCTCGGTCTCTTGCTTTTCTCTGTCAAACTTTATCTGCCTCTCTCCCTCATCTTACTTTTCTGCCCTCCCTCTTGAATTAAGGATGAATGATGTTTCTTTTACCATTTTTTCTCTGCGTATGCGTGTGTTTCCTGTGTATGTGTAATGTCTCCCGCTTGGCCCTGTCTATCAGAGCCAGAGCCCTGCTGTCAGCGTATGTGTGTATGTGTGTGCAAAAAGAAAGATGAGGAGATGAAGTTGTGAAGCCCCCCCCCCCTACCGTGACAAGCCAAAATGAGATGTTAAACACCTCTCAATCTGTCAAGCAAGCTGCTAAAATAGAAACAGACCCGCTTTTTCATTACTCCACAACCAAATTGATACTTTTGACAACATGTGGTATTAGATATGACATGTGTCGTCAGATATGGAAGTAAGCAACACGACCAGATGCCTCTCCATCTCTCTGACATTATCAAGTCAATTCCTGTCAGCTGTTCGTCTGGATTAGATGGAAACACATCCTCATATCCTCAACTGCTTCAAGTCTATGTTTGATCCACAGCTTTTTGTTGTTGCAACCTTTATTGATCCAAGGGTAGCTGACACTTTGAACTCGGTTACATGTGTTTTCTCATCTGTAACATGCTCAGAGCAAACAGTATTCTGCTGTTTGCCACTCATGACTGACCCGGCACTTGAACCTTTGACCTCCCAGTCCAACATGCTTCTGTTTTAGGAAAAAACAAAACATTTATGTAATTCACTATCTTAGCCACAACATATAATGCCAGACAACTGCAATAACCTCAGATAAGCTTTATAGACACATGGATGTTGAAGGCAGAAACACGCTGCTGTAACTGCGGTGGAATGTCATCGATACACCTACACAGGAACACCTTATTTATATAAAGGATTTCACTTTTCATCTTTTCTTGCAATTTTCTCAATGCTACATTTTGAATGTGCTGCTCAAATAATAAACTTAGGAAACTGAAAGTAAAAACTACAAGACACTTCGCCTATAAATCAATTACACTTTTAAATATCTTCATTTAATTATTGTTTGCATTGTTAGCATACAGGTAGCTTATCAGTTGAGCTGCTCTGCAAATACTTCCTGACCCTAATTCAACTTTAACTTGAGCGCGTTTCGTACTCTTTCATGACGTGGCATGTTTTATATGATTACATCGCAAAAAATCATGGATGGCATGCTAGTGGATTTACTATCCGCTTAACTTTATAACTTATAGAAAGTTAAGTTGAGGAAGGTTACACTCACATTTCACACAACATAGTAGTATTTTGAGACTTAATGACTTTCACATATTGGCTAATAATCTGCCAGAAGATGCAATTGCTGATAATGAGCAACCTTAAACATTTCTGCTCTCACTAGTTCTGCCTCCACAGTAATGGTGGCGACAGTAGAAAGTACAACACTTACGTCGTCCAATAAAATACGATATGTTGGCCGGGATATCTCTGCAGTTCTACAATATTTAATACAAAATTGTATTTTAACACAAATGTAGCCTTTAACAAATATTTTGCTTCCTGCGATTTTAATATTGCACTTGTCCATATTGCGTTTCCGATTGAAAAATGTTTTCATTAAATGTGCTTCCACACAAGTGGATCCTTGCTCACTAAGAAATGCTGTTTATCTGAGAAGTACTATTTTGGCCCACCAACTTAAGTTCAAGCAACTTATGAGAGAGGAACATTCCAGAAGACCTTTGTGATTGTTGGTATTTGAGAAAGTGGCTGGGCATAGAGGCATTACGCTGTAATGTCTGTGCTCTTTAATAGTCTTGCTCAATGTGTGTATTATTGTCAATCTGCCCAGCATCATAACATCAAACAAACACACACACACACACACACACACAAACACACACACGCACATATAGAACTATATCATCCACAATTCCATACAGCATAAACACACAAACTGAACGCTGGCATTTGTCACCCAAAGATCCTTTATTCTTTTTTTGCTGCACTCACTCAAGCACACTCAAACACATGCCCACCGTGCACATGTACACACATGCACGCACACTTCAGAGGGAGGACGGCCACAAGGTTTGTTCTATTTAAACCTGTAAAACACAGCGTCATCATTTTCCTGACAGTCCTGCAGACAGAATTTATCTCATCATTAATTAACCATCAGATTTCCAACACAGTGCAGCTTAATTAGCACAAGGTCATTGGGGAGGGCTTATTAAGTGGAACACATTTGGGCAAGTGTGTGAGAGGAGGCAGAGGACGGAGAAGGAAAAGAAAAGGAGAAGATGGGTAGGGAGAGAGTGAGGTGGGATGACAAAGAGATAAGCAGAGAGGGAGGGATGGAAGAAAGGAAGGAGGAGAGAAAGGAAGGAAGTGTGTGTTTGGTCCAACATGACAGTGCCGGCTCAATGATTGATAACTGCACCGGTTTTGAAACCTACAGACTAGGACAGTAGCTGAGGGAGAGAAAGAGACAAGGATGGGGAAATGTGTGTGTGTGTGTAGGGGGGTGGGGTGGGCGGGTGGGTATCTGAACCGGCAACTGGGGACCAGTGGGGGGGTGGTTGAGAGGCAATGGGGGTTGCTGGGGGGAGCCAATTGCAAACATATGCTGGCTGGCAGGCGGTGGAGAGATGGATTGCAGTGGGACAGTGTCAGAGAGGCAGTTTCATCACCATCTCTACGGCCCCGTTCACCTGGTATTTTTAGAACACTGGGGAGATCTGTTAGTTAAAGGAAGGGAGGAGGGGGAGGAGGAAAAGACCCGACTAGCCGTAGGAAACGCCAGGCTCCACTTAGACAAATCCGTCCGGGGCCTCAAAGTTATTTTGGGTGGGTATCTGCGAGGAGGTCCCGCAGTCTTTAAAAGGCTGAAAGTGCTGACGATTTAGAGTTTCACTGTTTCACGTTGGTTAATCGACTTAACTTTATTGATCTGAACATGTCCCTAATTGACCTTAGCATTAAGATAGTGAGTTGCCTTAGTCCAACTCCCAGGATTATGTTTGAGTTTTTTTCGGTTTGGTTTTGTTTGTAAAACAAACTACTGGCCTAATCTCTTAAAGGGGCCCTATAATGCTCATTTTCAAGTTCATATCACTATTTTGTGCTTCTACTGTTTTCCTGCTTTAATGTTCAAACAAGGTTTGCTGGCTGGCTGGCTCTGTTGTGATTGGTCAACTGCTTAGGGATGTCCTGTCCCTGAGCCTATAAAACAAAAAGTATGTATTTCAAAGTAAGACAAAAGGCGCAAGTTCACCAGGGTTGCCAAAACATGGCTAGAGGTATAAATATATTCAGCTGTCCACCTTATACACCCTACTGCAATCAAAACCAAAGCAAACACTTCCTTTTCCTTTTCAACCTGCACATTATCTATCATATGGAGTCTACTTTCAGCTCACCAGTATGTTTTTAGTATTAAAGAAACCTATAAAAACACAAAAAGTCATGTTAAAAACACACCATTTATGATGTTATGTCTTTAACCATACCTTTATATAACCAAATCCCAGTGTCACATCACTATCAGTTCCCACTAATGAGCGTAGCAGGCAACGGTGGTCAACAAGGCTAAGATTAGCTCCTCATATCGTTGTAACCCCATGGGGGAAGAGGAAGGAGAGGAGGACTCAGGAGGGGAGGATGGGTGAGATGACAGACTCCGACTATCTGACAGGTTCAGGGTGAGAGATAGAGGGAGAGAGAGAGCTGAACTGTTATAAAGTGACACAACTGGGTCTTCGTCTCAGCCACACCTCCGCTCCTCACTGCGGGCTCTGAGCGCAGACGAGGGCTTTTTGTCCTTTTGTTTGCCTGTGTGTTTTCTCGTGGTCGTGTACTTATGAGGGCCGCATGTCCTCACAAACCTTGTATTGCATGTTGCATTACAGCTCAGGATTATATTAAAAAGTCACTTTTTTTCACCCATGCCTCACTGATTTGAATGATCCCTATTCCACTATTTCATCTTGAAATATAATCTCCGTTATTTAGTTAATGGGGCCGCGATCTGAGCAAGAATGGTTGCATAGTCTTCAGAATCCGTAAAAAGTATACCCAATAGTTTGATTTGATTGATTTTGATTGAGTGTCGCACATCATGAAGCCTTTTCCGTTTCATTCACAGGAGAACAATAGAGATATATTGTGTCTAAACCAAAACAAATATATCAGATTTGAATGTGCCGTTTGAATTACAGAAAACAACACCTCTCTGCAACCTGAAAAAAATATATATTCTGCTTCAGTTTTATTTAGTTATTATTTGTTTAAATAGTTTTTTTACCATCATTAACAAATGGACACCAAAAGTATCTCCAAAACATTATTTATTGATGATTTAACCCTAAACCTAACCAAACAAACATAAGTTATAGTTACAAATAATCATTTAAAACAACGAGGAGGAAAGTGTGTTTTGTTGTTGTGGTTTACCATTTTAACCTTGTGTGTGCGTTCCCTGATGGTAGGTCTGCGAGGCACCTAAACCAACACTTCAAAAACAAGGGAGGGGCTTGAGAACTTGATTGACAGCGGCGACCTTGTCTCAATTGCTTGTAATTAGTTCTCTAAAAACAGGGCGCCAAAAGACAACTGACCCGTCTCACATACCTGTTTTCTTAGGTAATTGTTAAAACGCCGGCCATTTTCACGCTTGTAATAATAA